GGATTGTACCTTCCTTTTACAATCTTTGTTGGAATACATTCGTCAGCTACAGCAAGGAAAGTGTCTCTCCATAAATTCCAATTCTCGTTAATGTCGGACATCGATGTGGGATCGCTAAATTCAAATTCAATCGATTCAAAAGTACGGTTCATTTTTTCAAAATCCGCACGGTTGTAATCGTAAACCGATCTTTTGAGCTTGTGGGAAGGTGTTGCTGTACTTTGAAACTCAAAGAGTATGCACTTGTGGTCGGAAAACAAATTGAAATTGGTTGGATCAATTACTTCAATGTTGTTAACGTTGTCTGGAATGTTTGTCATGATAAGATCAAGAACGTTAGTTTCTCTTGTTGGAGCGAAGATCAATTGACTTAAGTAATGGTCAGATAAGGTGTTGTAGAAAAATCTCTCGGATTCACCGGTTGGGATAACCATGCTTTCAGACCACGAGATTCGCGGGAAGTTGAAATCACCAGTCATTATAATTTTATCGTAAGTGTCCATGATGTAATCTAAGAACTTTTTAAAGGAGAGAAGCCATTTTGACGAGGAGTCAGGAGCTCTGTAGCAGCAGACAACAAGGATTCGCGCATTGTTAGTGGCGCATTCAACGCAGACGATTTCTAGTTCAGTATCTAATTGATTAAAGCATACTTGCTTGGTTTCTGTAAAAGAAGACTCTTTTGTAGCTATTAGTACGCCACCGCCGGTTTTACATTTACGGTCGACACGGAAAACGTTATAATCTTGACGTAAAATTTCTGCATCAAAGTGTTTATCGGACAGCCACGTTTCAGTGAGGAAAACGATGTCTATTTGCTCCGAGTATACAAAATCTTGAAGACTTGAATTATTTGATATCATATCTCCATCAGATGTTCTATGTAAACTAAACAAACTTCGCGTATTCCAGCTCAAACAGCTACGTTCAGTCGCGATGGTGTTGCTTCGATTATTTACGACGGATGAACAGTGTTCGAGATGCTCAGATGAAATAACTGGACCAGGATTTAATTCCACATCGTTAGCTAAAAGAATTAACAGCAAAGGCAAAGACGATCTCTGTAACAATAACAGACCGTGCACAAAACGATGAACCGAGAGCAAAGTTACATGTCTCTTAACACGACGAAGTCGATAAGAATACGGTGTTCCAAGCATTTTCGTTGAGGCATAGAACAAATTAATCTTGGTTTCTTTCGAATTTTTTATTCCACGTACAACCAACCATAGAAAAACAATAACGTAGATAAACTTTGGGAAAATCATTTCTAATAGGATTAGGAATTGTATTAATTTTGTTCTTATTAATTAGCGCGCGCGCTTAATTAAGCGCGCGTGTTGGCGTGTTCGTTTGCACTCGTGAGATTAACCGTCCGTTTAGCTTGCGCGAGCGGAAAAGGCAACGAGAAATGTCAGATTCGGTACAAAAATAAGCACAAATCCACCAATTACTCACTAAATGACCAAGATAATTTGAAAAATACCACAGATTTTCCAAGACGTCGACTTTATCTACCAATTCGTTATATATTTTGTTTACAAATCCAAAGAAGCAATGACAAAATCATATAATTTTACAGAGCAAGGCAGCGCACGGCCGCCTGTGCTGGCGTCACGTCACGTCAACAGGAACTAACAGTTTCGATCACATTGAGTTCAAACTCAAAGAGTTCCTGCTCCATAGACCGGCAGTATTTTCTCAAATTTCTGTAACTTCACTCTTTTAACAAACTATAAATAAACCCATGCCATATTTATACCAAATATATGCCATTGAACCATATAATAACCATGCAGTATTTGTTCTTTAAATTATAGGTGCATGTATGGGGAGGAATTTCAAATCGAGGTGCAACTTCTGTTTGCATTTTTACTGGAATTATGGAAAGCATTGGGTATCAAACTATCCTGGAAAGAAATTTAATTCCATATATCAAAAAGACCTACCCTGATGGCCATAGATTATGGCAGGACAATAACCCAAAGCACACAAGTAATTCTACAAAAGATTAGTTAATACGAAATGGAATTAACCATTGGAAAGCACCACCTGAGTCACCAGTAAGTTGTGCTATATTAGAGTCTGTTATTACAGTATATTGCAAGTATCACTTGGTAGTTGCCGTGAATAAAATTCACTTGCCATCAGACAATGGCCTCTGGGGTACCTAGGTAGGAGGAATAAATTAACCCATTGAGTCGCATTGCACCCTGCTGCACCCTACTTTAGTATTTTACTCTGTCTAACGCCAGAGTATTTTACTCTGTCTAACGCCAGACGATTTTACTCGTCAAGGGGAGAGCGCTAGCGCTTAATGGGTCAACTCCTCATACTGTACAATTTGATAAACCGTTCCTTACTTATTGCCACACTGGTATTCTGTGGTACATTAGGATTTTATGCACAGAATGTCTGATTTAAAAATAATAGAATATATGCCAAATCTAACCCCAAGACCCCACAGAAAGAAAAAAATAATGAAAAAATATACTAAAAAAATACTTAACAGGCTATGTTATATACATTTCACAAAAGATATGGAACATATAAATTTGTGTGGTATTCTGTCAGTGATACATACTGTACACCCAGTGTGAGATCGGAAAATTGTCAATGTTTTCGGAAAATTGTCAATGTTGTCGGAAATTGTCAAAGTTGTCGACAGGGGGGGGGAGAGATTTAAAATGTATTGTATTTGCACCAACCGATCATTTGAAATCACTTCTTGAGATGGATTATCCTAGGCCTTATGAAACACACTATAAGCGCATACGATACGATGTGGGTACAAGGTTGCTCACAGCCTCACGCTCCAATAATCCTTACAGACTTTGCCATCCAGGGTGATGCATGATGTCATATTCAAATTTTTCCCCCCAAATTGGCCTCTATTTATTTTTTAACTTGTAGTTTTAGCATTTATGAAGGATTGAAATTTACTTTTGTACGTATCTCACAGGACTTGGACTGCATTGAAAACTTGTGGGCAGCCTTAAAGCATCACATCAGGAAATATGTTAAACCGAAAAATAAAGAAGAGCTTGTTGCAGGAATTAAGGAGTTCTGGAGTCAACTCACCATTGAAACATGCAGGAACTACATACGCCATGTTCATAAAGTTTTACCAGTCATAGTAGCGAGTGAAGGTGTTCCAACAAAGTACTAATGATGGCATAGTGGCAAAATATCAATTACAAGTACAAAGTTACATTATTTTTTTAAATAATAGGTTTTGTCAATAAATTGAATTCTAAAACTGCATGCTATTTGCAAGGTTATTTAAGGCACTAAATGTGCAATTTTTGAAATGATTTTTGTATCTAGATACATTGTTGTGGCTATGTTAATGTGTGTGTGATACTTGTTGACCCTTATGCTGCCTTGCGGAATGCTCTTGTGCTGTTGTCTTCACGATCATTGCGTATGTCTCCTGTATTTCTTATACACAACTCCAGCACATCAGGGTCAAGACATAATTTTGAAAATCTGGAAGAATGTATAATGCAATTTTTTAACTTACAACATTTGTTCTCGATCTCCTGTGGCATTGGTCGACACCGCAAATTTTTTTCCGTAGACAGTCGGACTCCTCATTGATAGTCGGACGCATCATTGACCAGCACCCTTAAACAGAATATTCAGCGGATACTCTTCTTATTAGATGCGCCTTCCCAGTGTGTCTTGCGCACGCAATTGGTGATTTCAAAATCAGTATTACTTGGTTGAGATGTCAAAATCTGAGCAGGACACATTGTGGCTTCGTATCTGGTGTGGTGATGACATCTGACATATTTTATTAAGTTATATTCGCCATTTCCACTTGCTTTTCTTTGCTTTTGTAACTGTTTTTTGTAACTCTTTTCGGAGCGATTGCAGAATACCCGTCCACTTTTTAAGCTATGACTTTCAAACATCATGGATACGATGTATTAATACATCTATACTTATTCTCAATAGATTAATAATAAATAGATTGATAGATTAAAATCCCATTGTGGTAAAGGTAGCTACGAGGCATATCCCATGGTGGTAAAGGTAGCTACGAGGCATACAGTGGGTTAGCATTAATAGATTAAAGTGTCATAGTGTTAAAGGTACACGGATACGCATGCAGTCAAGTAGTTATTTTTAGAACAAGGCATTAGGCATACAGTTAGATTTATAGCATTAGATCAAATTCCTATGCTGTAGGTAGCTCCATATTTTAGCGGATACACGTATACGCAAGTAGTTATTTTGATATTAAGGCGACAGTTAGCATTAATGGATTAAATTCTCATGCTACAGTGAACTTAAATGTGGTGTAATATGTAAATATGTTCCTCACAACCGGATATTGGTGTTTGACAGATTATGATTAATTAGCGTCGCTGGGAGAAAAAAATCTATATTATAAAGCATTTACTAAGCATAATATTAAACATTAAAAGTCTTGCATGATATTTCCTTTATAGTATCAATTCGTAATATTGTCTTAGTAATTAGTTTGTGTATATTAGAACGAGGCACTAAGATCTGGTATATACGTATCCAGTGAAATAGTGGCCGGGCTACATGTTATGATATTACTAGTGGACGAGTATTCTGCAATACTTCTATTTGTGGAAAGTGGTCTTGATTGTCGCTTTGAATCTTCTAGTATTTCCTTGCGCGCTAGTTATCTTATCCCGATTCCCTTCAATTGGGATGATATATAGTTTTAACTCGCAATAACAGTTGTTGAGTATTTTAGAAACCAGAAAAACAAGTTTGTAGATTTACTATGGCATCGCGAAGCAAATCGTTCATCTTTCTACACGTGGTCAAAGAAGAACAACGTGGAGTGATTGATATATGGTGCACCAGTGGGTTACGAAGGGATCCATCGATAACGCGCGGAGGCCTGGACGCGGATCAATGATGCGTCCGACTATCAATGAGGAGTCCGACTGTCTACGTAAAAAAATTTTGCGTCGACACCTCCCACAATCACACCAGTCGGGCACATTACTCTAAGTAGGATCTGGGTCTGAACCAGGGTTCTGTGAGTTGCAAGCGTCTTGGGTAGATGTTTCGTCATGTGGCCGTTCGGTGGATGATTGCCAAAGCTCACCGACATTTTCAGTATCATCCAGGTCATCCTCCATGATTAAGAAGGTGTCCATGTAATCCATGCTGCCAATACCTCTGCGCAAGCTTCGGATGGCAAGCTTCCTGACTAAGCTCTCGTCCAATCTACTAATAATGTCCTATAATATATAAGGTTTGTCAACAATCTTACAATATATTCTCTATAAATGTTTATAAACATGAAACACTCGAGCATAAGGAACATATTAAATGGGTTGCACAATTTGTAACAAACAGTAGTGCACACAATATATGGCCATGCCATTTAATAAATGTACAATCCCATTAAGGGGTCCTTAATATAACCCCCCATGCACATGGAATAATTATACAACCCATTGGATGTGTTTTACACAATATCATTCTTGCCTCCATTTAGAATATCGCAAAAACACAAATATTTTTCCCATCCCAAAATTCATAATCTTCCCGTAAGAAAAGGTAAGACATTAAAGGACAACTCTTGGATATTCAACCCCTTCATTCCCTTAGGGGGGGGGGGGGCATACCGTATTCATTTATTGTTCATGCAAACTTCCAAATTTTTGCAACTGTTTTGACGGGGGGGGGGGGGTCGGGCAATGTGGTGTATTTGATCATCAATTGCATCCTCACCCTGGGGATTTTGATTAGAATTTTGGCCCTCGAGTTGGGGCAATTTGAACCGAATGACTTTTATTAATATAGTATTTATTGCAATTTATTGCAAAATGGTGGGGCACTTGACCAATATTTATTGCCCGACGGTGGGGCATTTGATTGAAAATTTGGTCAAAAAATCAAATGCCCACCTATGCCCGACCTCCCCCCCACCCCCTCTGGGGCTTAACATTGATAGGTGCATTAATATTCGTGATTGGATATTAAACTAAAAGTGAAATACAACTATGAGCCTATATATATGACCCTATATAATACAAATCACGATAAGATCTACCTTAACGTCTTCGTTTTCCTTTTCTCTCTGACTTTTCTCAGATTCCACAGCATTGTTGCTTAAGCTAAAACCTGTCGCTTTCGTTTTTCGCCGGCTTTTGCTTCTGTCATCTCGCTCTAGATTTTCTGCCATTGTCTATAAATACAACAAACACAATGAAATAATATATTGTCAAATCGAAGCCTGTCATACTGAACAAATAAACAACAAACAAGATGTACTTTTCTTCATAGACTTACTTTATTCTTGCAAGGGTTAGCACGAGTATCGCACTTACAATCATCCGAGCATAATACATTTTTTCCTTTGCAAGGACATCCGCGCGTTCCATCCACTTTTCTCCGTGTACTACACGAACTCTTGCACTTACACTTACAATGACTTGCTTATATCAAACAAAGCCACAGCTGACTGATTAACAAACTTATAATATTAAAATAATATATTTGCGTTGCTATATGCAAATATATGCTAATTTTAACTTACCATGTTGATTTCCCCGATGTTGTTTTGCCTTCACTCATCTCATGGCGGCATATTTTCCCGATCGACTTCCGACAATTTCCGAAGTGTTTTTGTTATGCGCAGAAAGGGTGCGCGCGCGGGGACACAGCTCCTTTAATACCATGATGACCTCGGGTTCTTTTGTTCTCGCCGGGTGGTTTAATCACGATATTCACCGCTTAGCGGGGAGATATCTAATTCTCCCGGCAAAGCCAGGCAGATTTCTAATTTCTCCCTGATTAAAAGTCATGAGCCAAAATTCAAAGACACGACAAAAATTTTCTTAATAGCTTTTACAGAACAAACAAAATAATTACACTACAATGTTAATTAATGGTTTAGCCGATTAACGCTAGAAGTACGGAAGAGAAACGGTAAAGAATACCGCCATGAAGTCGTGTATAGTCTGTTTTTTTATGAGTAAATAAATTACTGTCTTTATAATATAGTTGTGTGAAATGTTTAGTGAAAAGTGAATATTAATAAGTCGAGTAATTAACACTTTATCTTACTGTCATTAATTTCGTCAACGCTCATCTCCTGCAAATCTGGCACACGCTTGAATACTTCACTCTCAGCTTGAAAATCACGAAACTCGGTATTTCTTGCCTTTGCCCATGCTTTATAAACATTCGTGCTCCACCTAGTGTGTTTGATAGTATTCTCAGGCGTTCTGTTATCTCTAACTTTCTGAACATCGGCTTCCATAACAAACGAGAAACGTTTATCCGCGATATCATTCTTAGTGAGCGTCCAAGAACAAGACTTGAGTTGAGTTAAAAACAGGGTTGCCAGATTGCTGAATAAATAAGCAAAACATTGTTATAAGCGGCCCTTTGATGTCTTTGTTTCCAACAAAGAAAACAAAAGGTTATTATAATAATATTTGGCTTATTTATTCAGCAATCTGGCAACCCTGGTTCAAAAGTAACTCATTTTATATGCATGCATGAACATGCACCCGGCACTGACACACGTATATTAAGAATTGTTTATTCCCAAACGAATTTCCAACAATGGAGAATTGTTGTATACATCACTGATCATGCATTGTATTACACAATACTCGTACTATCAATTAATTTTGTACAATTAAAACACTAGCCTCACCTCGGTCATCATGGTATTACAAACTAATACCATGGTTTTTAAGAATATAGTGATTAAATCTCCCGCGAACCGAGGTGGTCGGGACGCCTTTGGGCTTCGCCCTCAGGCTTTCCCTCGGGACTTTCACAAACCTCCTCGGTCTGCGGGAGATTTAATCACTATATTCTTAAAAACCATGGTATTGCTTATAAATACACCACCAAATAGTCCGGCTGCGATTTTCGACAAATTTGAAGTAATGATTCGTAATCTTGAGGCGGAAGACAAAGAATATCATATAGTGGGCGACTTAAATTGTAATTTGCTGGAGGCTGAAAAAAATGTCCATAGTAAACGACTCATAGATATCATGGACATCTATCAGCTAGAGCAAATTATAACAGAGCCAACCCGAGTCACAATTGACACGTCATCACTGATTGACGTATTTATTACAAACATTTCTCAAAAAGTAAAATCCAGTGGAGTGATTCGTCTTGGCATTAGTGACCACTACATGATTTATGTGTGTACCAAAGACGCAATCCGTAGACCGACTCCTAAAATTGTTGAGACTAGATTTTTTAAAAACTACAACAAATTTGCATTCAGAAGGGATCTGTTCTATACACTAAATACGTCTAATATATAGAAGTTGAACTAGACCCAAACAAAATGTGGGAAAAATGGAGAAATGTGCTTACTACAACCGCAGACAAACATGTTCCATTAATATAACGCGTAAAGTTAGAAGTCAACACACTCCATGGCTGACTAGTGAAATTAAGAAAATGATGAATCATCGAGACTATTTAAAACATAAAGCAAACCGCACTAAATCTCGGTATTTCTATGAAGCCTATAAAATTACTCGAAACAAAACCAACAAAATAGTAGAGAAAACTAAATCAAGGCATTTCCAACATACCATAAACAACAATAGCAACAACCCAAAGCAACTATGGAAAAGTTTCAACCTCATTCGAGGTAAAGGATAGAAAACAACTAATGTATCCACTCTAAAAATAGACGAAGAAACTATAACAGGTGACAAGAACATTGCTGAAGCTTTTAAGAGGCTGTCTCTCTAAGAACCGACCAATGACTCTCGACTCAAAAAATGAAATTCTTCGTTACTTTCACAATGAAATGTATTTACCCCAAGAACAAACAAACACTATTTAGAATTTTGAAATTTTATTAATTTTTAAAATTTAAGCGATTTTTCGGTCCCGCGCCGTCGGGCAGAAAATCCAAAAAAATAAAAATTATCCGAATTCAAATACATATAATTTTAAAAGTATTCAACCAAATTTTATGATTTTTTCACCCACTAACGTGAAAATTATTCTACTTTGAAACTTGTCTTGTTTTATGATGCATTTACAGAACGATTATGGCAAACTTTAGCGATAACCAGCACCTGGTCTAAATACAGCTTTGTACACATATCAAATTCGACTTTAAATTTCTCAAAAGTGGCACCTAGCTGGATTCAGTGATTAATATGATTAAAAAAAGGGAAGTTTGAAATACCCATGTCCATAATAAAACTTGTTACCAACCGCGATTTGAAGACTCGACAGCCTCTGAAATTTGATACTATTTGGCTATTTTGTTTAGCTTATAGCGGAGTTGAGACGTCAAAAAAGCGGAGTTGAGACAATTATAGCGCAGTTGAGACGTCAGAGCTTCCAGTCACTTGTAAAATGCGCTGTTGGTCCGTTTTTTTACGCAAGCCTTTAATATTATCGTAGTTAAGCGATTTTTCTGTGTTCATGAACATCAAAAGTGGATTTAATTCGAAAAGATTTCGATCGATGCAGCGAGGTAAACGTGGCACGCTTTAGTATTAAAATTAGCTACTCGGGGAAAACCCGGAAATTATTGTCAATGCCGATATTTCATGGCCAGAAATTCGCGACATTGAGCCGTTATAGAGTTCAGCGGTAATCCGCAATAAATTTCAAAATGGCGGCCAAACGTGCTAGCACAAGAGTGGATTACAAACAATTACACTGTCTTAGCTCTGTCATTATGTATGATAATTCCAGTGCCCGAAAAAAAAAGGGAAAGATTTACCCTGTTGAGAGAATCATCACAAGAAAGAAACAAAACAACGTATGTACAAATTAAATTTATATTCCACTTCAGTTCGAGAATTTGAATTGAACTATTTGTGCTTTAAGAATCTCAAGGGATCTCGTATTCTTCTTTTTTAAGGACTTTCTGTATCTTATTAAATGGCTTGGTTGGTCGCTCCAGTACTGCACCTGGGAACCGTCTTCAAACTTACCAGAAAATTTACTAAGGTAACTTTATAAATTAAATTTTAAAATATTTACATTCATACATATATGGCAAATTGTCACTTAGAGACACATAGCGATTCAGCCATAACGAATTGAAGTGGTTTGCAAAGAAATAGGCATGTCGAATTAACAGAAATTGTATTTGACAATTTTAAAAGTTTCTTTGTAATGGATGTGTTATATTTTATACCGAAAGACATGCATATACTGTAAGAAAATATATCTGGTAAACCATCATTATTAAAGTCCTATATTATTTTTGTGTAGTAATTAAGTTCAGGGATAGATTGGTGTATCCGGCCGAAATTTTCAGCTCCTGGCTCTCTTATAACCAAAGTGTTTTAAATAAACAGCTCAGAAGGAGTATTTTTTAATAGTGGAGTGCAATTAATGTAACAGACAGATTCATAAGGTTTTCAATGGAATCTGTGTATCACATTGTGATGAGGCAAAAAGAAAATTATGCAACATTGCAGTGTTTGCCAGATATTTCTAATACCCTGCAGAATATATTATTTAATACTCAATATTTATTTGCAGTGGCTATGAACATCCACCAGAGCCCTCTCTGTCTCAGCTGGAGCAAGCTGCAAGGGCCTTCTCTTGTGGGATATCAACCATGTTAAAATCTAAATCACTTCGTAGAGGACATATTGATATTAACCATGACTGTTGGCGCTATGTGATTCGAGGAAAGGGTCGCCCATCTGAGCACAGGGGGTACCAACTCTTTGACAAAGAAGATTTTGCTCGTTTACCTATGCTGCCATCTGACTGGTGGTACATTTTCAACAAACATGGTGAGGGACAAAAAATCGATTTCCCCATTAAAGCAAAGGCAGTTGTAAGTTGGTCGGCACAGAAATATGTTTTTGATAAGGAGGGAAATGTTGTGCCAGCTGCAAGATTCCCATTGGAAAGAATAAGTATATACATTGCCAGTTGCCCATGTAACCAGGAAAATTTATTTTATTAGAAATATTAATTCTGTATAAACAAGAACAATATTTTATTTGTTATACAGTATTACATGAAAAAGTAATTGAAAAGCTGGATGAACTTAATCCAGGGTTAAGAAATACCTTCTAACAGCTGGCCAGTAGATACATTGATTAATAGAAGATGTTTCATTTCAAAATTAATGTTAATGCTTGTCTGAACCATTTTACTATCAAACATGTTAGAGTTGTTATGAACTGGCAATTTTGGCCAAATTATGAACCATTAAACAGTTTATGCTAAATATTGTAATTAATATTGTTTAATAAAAATAATTATTTAACACTTAAGATTTTTGCATGCCTCAAAACTATATGTCCGCTTAGCATCATATGAGATGTTTAGATCATTACTGTTGTTTATGCCTACTCTGTGACGAGGGCTTGACGCAAAATTTCCCTGAGCTTTTCTATTTTTCGAAAACGTGTTTGAATCCCAAGGTCCTTCAGTTTTTCTTTGATTTCCCAGACTTGTAGATTTTCAATTTCCAAAGTTGTAATTTGTGACTCTGTTTCTTGCTGTCCAGGACTTGGGATTTTGCTGACCCTTCTTCGCTTACTTCTGGTTTCTTTTATTGTTTGCGACCAATATTCTGCGCTCCTTTTTCTATACTGCCTCCGAACTCTTTCATGCTCCCCGAATATTTGCTGCCGCTTGCTCCCCAATAATATGTCCTTTGGTGCATCCCACTTATTGGATTTTGTGAGATGAAATCGCCTTGCGTCATCGTTGTTTTTTTCTACTCCTTTGATTGAACAAATTAACGGATATTAAATTAAAACAAATTGAAATTAATTCTGTTACGTGCACTAACTAATATTTTGGTTTTCCGAAATATTTTTTTTAATGCTTTTCACGCTCATATTTAACATTTGCTTCATGACAACTTTAATTAGTTGAATTAGCTGTACAGTATAAGTTGTTTACCTTGTCCTGAAAACTTTCTCATTCCATTGTGTTTCTTCATAAATTGGGGGACATGGTACACTAGGCAGTGCATGTATGGTGTTACCTGCTGCTTGCCGAACCCTGCAACTTCTCCACCCAGGGAGACAAATAACTGTACCCATGCCCTGGCCTAATAAAATACAAATTTAACAATTCAAATTAAATTGCTATCCAAAATCAGACTACCTGTTTTTCCCTGGGAGTGACCAGTATCCGGTAGGCTACTTTCTGGTACCATCCGCAAAACAGTATTACTGTAGGCACATCACTAACTTCGACATACAAATGATTTAATATATCTTACATGATATACATACATACAAATTATATATATATACCTTTTCAAAGAATTCTTTAATTCTTTCATTTGATGGGTTGCACTCATTCATCATCTTGTAAATTTCATTGAAATCCTGTTATAAAGATGAGAGTATTGGGTGAATTTACATTTGTAACGTTTTAAATTTATACTTACCGGTACTATATAAAAGGTTATTTATGTAATAGTAATTTATTTTACATGTGTGTAACAATTTGTACCTTCCAAAGTTTTACAACTGATTTACTAGCTCTGCCTGGTTTAAGTACTTCTGGCAACTTTTCTGGCAGGGACTTCATTAGGATCTTCTTATCCGATCCCATCAAGCTCGTAAAGTCATAAATACCACTTCCCCTTCCATCTCCATCTTTCTTCTCCCATACATCAAATGTGACGCCGCATTCCCGGATTGAGTTCGTGAGATCAGATAAGTGTTTAGTTGTCCTATCCTTTGGAGCCTTATTGAGATTTTCCTTGGTATCCCACCCCAAAGCTTGATTTACCAAACTCTTTGTAAGGATATCTAAAGTGAATAAATAAGGTACCGTACATAAGTAGTTTTAATTTTGTCCCCTTAATTTAGCACAAGTATAAGGGTGTGGGGAAGAAAGTTATCCTAATACCTAGGACTTGGTCAACCTATTCAATGGAAATGGCACATTAATGTCCATCACTTAGGTAAACTGGATTGTGTCAAGTGCTTTCTCCATTAGTACCTTTCTCCATTGGTGGGTACTAAATATTTTGTTGTTAACTCATTAAGCGCCAGCGCTCTCTCCCCTTGATAAGTAAAATCGTCTTGCATAATATATAGGCAGAGAAAAATAATTATACCTGTAATACGGAGCATCAAATGTAGCTCGTCCAACACTACGTTTTCAAGTTTGATATGGAGCAATGGTTTGTGCTGACAAGAAAACTGATTTTTCATTGCACATTCTCTGATGTCTTGGAGGGAGCGAAACTCATTTTCAACCCAGTAATCCATTCCTTTGGACATATCCCATCTACAAATACATTATCAATATGATAAACATTGGAACCACTCCTGCAAAAATCTCAAGATAAAACCAAGGCTCAGTAACATCTCTTTGACTTAGTCTCATTTATTATCATGCACAATATCAGTACAATTATCTGTTATTATTTTATAATTATATTACCTTAGAAGCTTATGTATTTTACACCAGATGCAAGCGTGATCGGATGTTGCTCCTTTACATCCAAGCACTAACAGCAGAAACTACATTTATAGAAAATTGGATATTAGGTGCTATTACAAGCAACGTTCCGGCAATACAGGGAAAGCAAAGAAAAACTCTGTCTGAGTTATAATATAATATATATATATGCACGTAATATTGGAATTTCCACATTCCTTTTACTTTTTGGCTAATTCTAGCCTGTGAATAGGATCATGACCTCTGGTGTTGGATATGGTTGGGGGACTGAAGATGATAGAAATACAACGGGCACAAGGCAAAACGGGTGGAACCCAACCTAGCCAGTGTTGATTTGTAATCAATCCTTTGAGATTGACAAGCAAGAGATATGGCAGCCATGTTGGAAGAAAACACGCTCCAAGCACATTATAGCTGTTATGGTATTATTATCCTCCAACATGGCCACCATGACATCAGGTCCAAACCAAGAATTAGGCTCATTCATACATGATAACAGCATAAGGACAAAGATCTGATTCTGTGGAAATCAACATTTGTCATGTTTACCTTATAATCTCCTTCCAGGAACATCTCAATGCTTACATCTTTATCTTTAACCTTAATTTTCCCAGCTTTTGTTAATTTGTTTATATCATCAAAGATCTTTGAACAAGAAGTCTTCAGTAGATGATAATCTTCGTGGCCCTTAATGACTGCAACTGTATGGTTGCCTCCATAAAAAAAGAAGATTAGAGATAATTACTATGTAACTAAATTGATTCTTCTCTCTGTGCCTTTGAATATAAAATTGACCGACTTGACAAAACTTACATTATAGTCAAGCGCTAATTAAATACTTCAAGGCCTAGGGGTTCTTCCATTGCTAAGTAAGATCAACCAGTATAAGCTGGCATACACAGAGTAAATTAATAAAGTAGGGCGCATAAGGGCACAATGCGACTCAACAGGACTTTCGGGGCTTATAAAGGGTTGCTACTTCTGTAATAAAATGACTGTTAAACCAAATATTTACCCTTTGCTGACATTACAGTGTTCTCATCATTCAGAATTGAAAAGGTGATTATTATGAAATTGGTAACACGAGTCATCTTCGCACCATCACCACTAATTTTAACTTTGAATGTTGTTTCTGCCAGTGTCTCATCTTTTTCTATCTAAGATAATTATAATATAATTATAAAGCAGGGATTGAAATTTTAAAACTTTTCTAGTTGCCCAAGTAGGTACTAGTGAATAAGATCTGGTCCCCAAATTATATATCAGGTCTCCCCCAATTGAATGTGTTATAAATTATTCTCTTTGTATAAAGTAACATAAAAAACAGTTGTTTAATATGTTTGCAAATTATGTGCACAAGCAGAATTAACTGCTTGATCACTGAAATATTTTAAGACTTTAGAATTACTTTCTCAGTTTCTATGAGGGCTATCTTTGGCAAGTGTCTGCCTGGTCACCAGATTAAAAAATATAGTCACAATTGGTGACCAGTTATCAAGTGATAAAGGTATGATTACGTTTTAATGGCACATCCATCTTTGATATAATGGTAAGACTGTTTTAATACTGTATTTGTTGATGATACAGATTTAGTAACAAAGTAGACTTAATAGTGCAAAATTAAATAAATATTATCTTACCATCTTTTCAATGACACACCTTAACTCATCACAAAAGTTAAGTGCTGCACCATTTGGTTCCCCCGGTGTTCTTTCAATATATACGAGCTTGTTGATATCTTCTTTGCATTCTTTGATGAGGTAAGACCTTGGTAGGTTCCTGCCTCCAAGGCAGCATGTTAATTCATGATAAGTGGCCTCGCCAATACAGAATTTGTCCATAATATACAAAATCTGCTCGACTTTCTGTTGCTCCTCAACTGGAAGTTCTTTATATGACTTACCAGTTTTTCCCCCAAATGAAAGGCCATATGGTTTTCCACAATTGTCAACAAAGTTGACTGTGTCTAAGTGCAGACCATAAGATTCACTAAACCATAATACTTGTTCTACCTTGGTTTTGAGCGTCTTTAATTTACGCTCTTGTTGACGTTTTCCAACTTCTGAAATATTTTTACCTTTATCTTCAAAATGTGCTTGTGGTGAGATGCTTTGAATGACATCATATAAGCTTCGATTATCTTCCTTTAATTTCTCAATGTCAGTAGAGGCCTGGTCGAGTTTAGCTTCAAGTCTGGTTGCAAGGGTAGAGGCCTGTTGATGTTTGATGTCTAGGACAACATTTTGACTTCTCATCAACCCATTTTCTTTCTCCAGACGCGAGACTTCGCTTTCTAAGTGACAGATAGATGAAACTGTAAGGAGTTCATCTTGCAACACTGCAATGCTCTTCACTTTGTCCAGCAAGTTTTCCCGTTTTCTACCACTTGTTCCAGCAAGTTGTTTCGCTGCTTTTGAACAAGATACTCGTAATAAATTTTCAATTCGTGAACAATTCTCCTTGATTCGGGTAGGATACGATTTACCAACAAATACGTTGAGTAATTGTACATATGAACACGAACTAGCAACAGTTTGTTTTACTTCATGCCAACTTTTTAATTGCTCGTACGGCACATGAATGGAGAATGACAATTTTTCAACGTCAACACAGGATTGTTTTGTGTAGTTCGTAGAATGAATACTGTCGACTACTATGTCCTTTTTGAATTTTGTCTTGAAATATGACTCCAAAGATGAATAATTCATCACAACTACTTTGAATTTTGCATTTCAATTTCCCGCCAGGGTGCACGAAAGTGACACGATGTTATTACATGAAGTACGGCTACAAACACGCAGTACGCTGAACACTAAAACTGCTGATCATTTAAATATGGCTGCCGTGAAAGAGCAGATTTTGAGCTTCAATTTGATATCCTGGACGGAAAATATCGTGAAAAAAACGCCATAGAATATCGAAATCAAAGTGACGGCAATTCCTTTAAAACATACAAGCAATGTAACTGTTGCGTGGTCCGCCGGGAGTAGAAAATATGGATTTTCAAGCGTAAAATGGAAAGGTCAAACAATGTGCAACATCTTACTACGACATCATTTGCAAATGTTCAAGGCTTCAACTATGGGTATTCGAGTGCACATTCGAGCAAAGTGTTACCCCTAACTTACAACAAGCTTGTTTAATGGGACACTTGGTTATATTCGCCAATGGTTTGCTGTTTGGAAGGTAACCACATAAACCATTTTTACGAAACTAATTTGGAAAGGTTAAATTTAAAAATCTACTTATAAAATACGGCTTAGATTAATGATATTGGTATGTTTAACGAAGAATAAACTGCACAAACTGCATTCCGTGCGTTTTAAGTCTTCAGCTTAACTTTTCTTTGTGATTTGTAGACTAAATCCTATGAAATCAAGCAGCCATACTTTTTGCTTTTTGGCGCACGCGTACTAGCGCACGTCGCGAATTTCTGGCCATGATTAATCTAAACTTTGCATGTCTATTCTGCACGATCGGAAATGAATTTAAACTGGAAAAAAAGACTTGATCTAGAAGATTACAATAGATACTGATTATTATAAAAAGATCCAGTTGCAATCGTGCATGCCAATTAAATTGGATTTGGATTATAGTTTGAATAAGGGTTTTGATTAGTGTTTCAACCAGGGCTTGTCTGAAATTTAATAGAAGAGTCATATATGGAATAGTCTCCAAATGACCCCTACCTCAACTCTATCCTGACCCCTACCCTACACCCACCCCACCTTTATTTTGATGTCATTTGAGGACCTTTATATCAACTTCACCTGGAATTGTTTAAAGGGAGCTAATAAAGGTTGAAGTTTATTTTCACACAAGAGTTTTCAAATGACGTCAGAATAACGCGAGGTTGGGGTACATTTGGATTGGGGCAGAGTCGAACTTGGGGTGTGGGTAGGCCAGGGCATGTGGAGACTCTTATATGAAACGTCGGCCAGAAAAATGGTAGAAACTCTTCACGATGTATTTGAAATGGGGAATGTTAATTAATGCGTAAATTACCCCTATAAGGTATAGTATCATGTGAAGATATAGTTGGGAATCGAATATATACTAATGGAATTGCTGTGCATTACACGGAAGAGAAGCTATAGAAACAAGACAATTCGTCATGTTTCTGCTTTTCTGCTAATAAATGGCAGTAATTGTTGCACGATTAAGAGACAATGTCCACTAAAACCGAGCAAAATCGAGAATACGTGGCACATGAGGAAAAATAAAAAAATTTCTTATTTTTTCCAGTGATACTCTAATGTGTACTCAGAAACGTGGTGGGGTTTGTTTTCTGAAATATTATTTTAAACGCCGAAAATTATCAAAACCTCACATATACCCGAAATTCGCGAAATTAGCAAAAAAAATTGTGAGCTACGGCCTCTCGAAAATTTCGTTTTTCTCAATTGGCGTCTGACGAAACCTCACCTTTCGTTTTTAAACGTGTTTATAAGATGTTTATAAAGAACGTGGGTCCAATTTGCAATTTTTGAAATGATTTTTCAATGTCAAGACAAGCGTATAAAAATCGTCTTTTTTTGCGATCCAAAAAATTCCAAATTGTTACACTTTTTAAAAATTAATTTTCCGTATCCGGGAAAATTCCAATTTCCTTGAAATTTACGGAATTTAAAGACAAACTATTGCTCTAAAACTTAATGTAAAAATTATTTTGGGGCTTTTTGCTACCGCGGAATTATACTGACTATAATATCGAGAAAATCACAAAAAACCCTTAAAAATCCTCAAACAATTAGGCACTTTGCTTCACTTATAGACAGTCGAACCTTAATCATTCTTTCTTGTTTTCTCTTGTTATTGATAGGAAATATAAGACGTAGATCATTTTAAACTAGTTTGCCTATTTCTAGATAAAAATACGCTGTTAAACTCTCCAGGACTAAGATTTCTGCTTCAAATTCTTGTTTCAATTGATCGATCCATGCGCGCCAATTAAAATAAACTAGAAACACTTGTACACTCGCTAGATTCAAGGCTATATATACTTACTATAAACAGTCAATTACTTATATTTGAGCATGTTGTGCTCTAAGCAGTTCAGTTTAAGCGTCAAACTTCGGCCTTATTTTCATTGAAGCCGGGCAAGTTCAGTCGTTTAATTAATGGGACAGGGCCGTTCCTAGCGTGATAATTGGGGGTGCATGTTCATATATTCGTCTTCTGCCCGACGGATTTCTTTTGAAAGCGATTGTTTTTATGGTAGCGAGCATGAATATATGAATATGCACCCCCCCCCATTATCGCGTCTAGGAACGGCCCTGTTGAGGGATATGATCGGAAATAGCATGAATATAGAAATTAGATCTGAAAGAACTTTTAAAATGACGTGGAAAACATTTAAAAGCTTTTTTAAATCTTGCTTATTTCTCGACCTTAAGAAAAGCTTCTGTTGTGATGGAGCTAAACTGTGGAACTCATTACCTAAATGCAATTGACGCTTACAACGAGGGTCGAGGGTTGTACGTCCATTTCAAAAGTTTTACAACCATTTTGAAAACTCCCAAAAGCGGCAAAACAATTAGTTTTGCTCTCAAAACTGAAAAATTTCGCCTACGGCTATAATCTATATGTATACTGAAAGTTTCGCTGAAGAAATATTATTTTAAACGCCGAAAATTATCAAAACCTCACACATACCCGAGATCGGCGAAATTAACAAAAAAAATTGTGAGCTACGGCCTCTCGAAAATTTCGTTTTTCTCAATTGGCGTGTGATGAAACCTCACCTTTCGTTTTTAAACGTATTCTCCTACGGAGGTGCGGAATTCTGGAACTGCGTTCCTGCATCGGTAAAAGCATCAACAACTATTGCTAATTTTAAATCTAACTTGAAGCATGCAAATTAACATCAAGTGATCCTGCCATTGTTTCCATCTACTTAAAATAATTTTCTTGTAATTATTTCTGTTTGTGTGAGCACGGCCGGTTGGAAGATCACCTTTTTTCTTTTTATATCTTGTACATAATTAATTTTAGTATGGGTGAAATTGTACCTTGTTGAAATATAGTTCATAATAATAATAATAAAGGTTTGATGTTTGAAAGTATACATATTTTAATATTCATCGGAATTTAAAATATACAAACTTGGGCGATGATACAAAATTTGCGTTTCGCCAGTGCTGTAGCTAGCTCGATAATTGGAGGGGGGGGGGGCAGATATTCATATTTGTGTTCACAGACCATAAAAACAATCGATTTCAAAAGAAATTTATAACGCAGAACACGAATATATGAATGTCTGCCCCCCCCCCCAATTATCGAGCTAGCTACGGCACTGCGTTTCGCTCTCATGAGAAATTTGATTATAAGAAGGCTGTTTATATGGTCCCGCTTACCCGGAATTCAATGAAGTGTAACATATTTTGATCGAGCAATTGAAATACGTGTTTCAGCCCTAAACAAAAGTTAGATAACTTTAAATATTTTTTAAACGAAATTAGGAATGCGCCTGAAGTTATATGTAGTGAAAGAAGACGATTAATGGCATTCAACAACATTTGGGTTTTTTGTTTAAGACAAGGAATTTCATACAATTTGTAACGAGCAATTTTGTTCAAAATACGCACGCCACACTTCATTAAATCCCATTTATCTGTCAAAACCAAATAACAAGAGAAAACAAGTATAAATACTCACGTTTCGACAGTCTATCTGAGCAGACTGTGTCTAGACGTACTGCCTGTCTATAAGTGTCTGTCTACATAATCGGCTGTATATTATAGACATCGGCTGTATATTATATTCGTGATAACAAAACACCCCATAATATTTTTTACACCAGATTTGAGAGCAACATTTGCTCATACATTTGTCTAAATTTGAAGGAAATCGGAGTTTTACCGGAAAGGGAAAATTGATTTTCAAAAAATGTACCAAACTTAAAATTTTTTAACTTAAGGTTTTTCTTGTGATTTTCCCAATATTATAGTCAGTATAATTCCGCGGTAACAAAAAGCCCCAAAATAATTTTTACATCAGCTTTTAGAGCAACAGTTTCTCTTTAAATTCCCTAAATTTCAAGGAAATTGGAATTTTCCCAGATACGGAAAATTAATTTTCAAAAAGTGTAACAATTTAGAATTTTTTGGATTGCAAAATAAGGCGATTTTTACACGCTTGCCTTGACTTTGAAACATCATTTAAAAGATTGCAAAATAGACTATCGTTGTTTATAAACATCTTATATACACGTTTAAACACCGAGAGTGAGGTTTCCTAAAGACGCGAACTGAGCAAAACGAAGTTTTCGAGAGGCTATTACTCACTATGTTTTTAGCTAATTTCACGAATCTTGGGTACATGTCAGGTTTTGATAATTTTTCGGCATTTAAAATAATATTTCAGAAAACAAACCCCATCACGTTTCTAAGTATACATTAGTGTATCACTGGACAAAATAAGAAAACTTTTCATTTTTCATCATGTGCCACCAGTTGCTCGGTGATAGTGGAGATTCCCTCTTAACCAGTATATATGTATGTTTTGTTTACATTAGAATCAGAAGATGAAAATAATCTCTTTTCTGAGAAAGGTAAGTCGTCCTAATGAAATAATAAATAAATTCTTTTGGAGTGGTAACAGAATTTGTTGTAAGCAGAGTCTGGGGTGATGATATTGACATGGGGTCAAAGTTTATTTGTTTTTTTTTCATACCTGGTGGTTTCTGTTAAAAACTACCAGCTTTTAATATTGGTGACCAAATAGAAGATGTCAAATTGTTCGGCAACCGTCAGGCAAAATGGCCAATCCTAAGGTCCCCTTTACGAAGCACCGGATTCATTTGTCATAACACCGGATTTTGCAGTTTCAGAATGCCTCAAACACTTGAGATTATGATTACGATAAAATAAAACAAAACCTGTGAAAGGGTTATAATCCTGAACGGCAAGTGTTGTTGTCCTGAGAAACGAATCCTGTACCATGTAAGCGGAGCATAAACCGTAAAAATGTGTAATAAGATTGATGTCAAATTGTTTGACAATTTACAAAATTTCCTACTCCTCCTACAGCATTGGTAGAGATTACCAATCGGGTTCCTACGAATTCCACGTTGACGTCATTATCGTCCAGCATCTGTATGCAACAAAACTGCAGATGTCCTACCCAACAAAGAATTGGACGTCCTAAGTTTATGTCAAAATCACGAAATCTGATCACTTCTACTCATGAAAAGTCAACTGGACATGTGGCTGTATTGGAAAGATCAAGATCCCCTCTGGAGAGATCGAGGTCACCACCAAAAAAAAAGAAGAGGTGCAGTTCACAAGATGGTGTCAGAGAGATGAGCCATTCTCAGTCAAGCAGTGACTGTAGCCAATCTGCTGTGGATGAAGATTGGTTGTTGGGCATTGACATTGAGCGATTAGACGCACCTCTAGCTGCCGTAGCTGATCAAGTTTTCTCTACAAGACGTTCGAATCAAGTCTGTCGACAACTTTCCAATGTCAGAAGGAAGTAAGTGAATGAATATTTAATACTGCCGCAAAATTAGGTCTGCTTAACTTCGAAACGTCGAGAAGTATATTTGTCTTTTATAGGTTGGTGTGATCCTTTCAAACAAAGCTTTATTTGAATGCTGTAATGGATTCCCTCCCCCCCCCCCCTCCAAGACGAAGATTTTTATCTTTATTATGTTAATTGTTCAGAATTTCAGAAGAGGGTGCTTCACCTGCTGACAGAGATCAGACACACTTTGCAACAAGTGGGAAAGAAGTACAAACCAGTCGATTCCGACTTTCAGATTGAGCAGATCACAGATATTGGTCAGTTAGGGGAAGTAGAAGATTCTCTTACGACAGAGGAGTCAAGAAAACTTATGGTTAGCAATTTTTGAAGTTTTTAATGTTACTCTGTGTGGATGCGTATATATGTCACTGCTGCCAGTCGTGACGCAGATGCTTCAATATAAATTTCTCTTTTGTGCTATATAGCTTTCAAGGATTTCAAAAATAGGCGGCACAAGTCTAAAGAACTGTGTGCACAATGTGATGTTCAGGTAAGGTTAAATTTTTAACAATGAGACAATGCATGTCGCCTAAACAGTATAAACACTCTAACCAAATTCTCACTAAGCAGTGCTTTATTAAATGATCATTCATCAATCAAAGCGCTTCTTTATATTCTGCATGCACAGTACTTTCACGAAGTGCACAGTTGCAGCACTTTTGATTTCAATTCAGCGCCCTGAATTGTTGAAGTGTATTATTGGAATAGGGTAATTGTCCTTCAACCTTAAAGGAATACTGAATGGTTTTTGCAGGATTGCGTGATCCATGCACGAGGGATGTTGCTCGACTTTCGGAAAGCATAAAAATACTCAAGCTGCAGTGGACTGTATTTTTACGCTTTCCGAAAGTCGAGCAACATCCCAAATGCATGGATCACGCTATCCTGCTTGGAAAACCATTCGGTAATTGTTTTATAAAATAACTACAGTGAAACAATGACATTTTGAAAATCCCGTGAAGGCATTTTAATTCCGGATAGGCTGATCCTGCACGCTATTGACCAATCAAATTGTATGTGTCACTGTAGTTATTATATAATGGCCATTCTTGTATTAATGCATTTGTACACTATTTGTTTACTGTTTGTGTGTTTATATATGATTATGTGTTTATATGTATTTCTGTTAATTTTAGACTTATGAACAACGAAGTCATGTCAGGAATGAATATGAATGGCAATGGTGGTAAAGTTGCGTTTGGAAAGACAACTATCTTTCAACTTATCACTGGTACGTAATAATATACAGAGTATTATATTGTCCGGGTAATTGTCATGCTAATTCTTTCATTATGAATTTGTTTAGAAATGGCTTTGAAGAATCATAAAGGAACAGAGAGTGAGGTGGTTCAGATTTGTTCCAGACTGCTGAAATATGCACCAGACAGAAAAGGTGGCGGAGGGCACAAAGAAAACTCTGCATGAACTGGGAAGAATGAACATATTGAACTGCTAGCTATGTATATATACATATTGTATTTTAGATACATTTTAATTGATGTGCGATGTTGTGCAGGGTAATCCACATTTAGTGTAATCCACATTTAGGCCCCAGTTACACGATACCGTATTCGTATCGGAGTGACGTCAATTTAATGAGTTTTCCAGTCTTGTCTGCTCTTACAACTTTTCATATTTGAAGGTTTTGTTTAAATATGTTATATTATCATAGTTTTAAGTAACTGGGGCCTTAGGAGTTACTCAGTGTTGGAACGAAATTTTTGCATGATCATGCCTAAAGACCAGGTTCTGTTGAATGATACTGTTTTTGTGTCATTCTTGGCAAAGCCAAAGCGTACGTAGTTTACACCAGCACATAACGAAGTTAATTTTCAATAGCTTTGTACTCGTATTTGCTCATTTTGCTGAAAATGGCACGACTATAAAATACTGAATATATTTATGATCATGAAAAAATTATGTTCATGCATACATCGATAAAATTACATCACCGTTTTTAGCTCCAAATAAAGAATTAACTGTGCTCAGGTAAATATTTTCCTATTTTACCGTTTTTCGCTGTGCCTCGAGTACGACATTCTAACCTTACTTTCTAGCTGTAAGATTTTCGCAAATTCTGAAAATACGCAACATTGATTCGGTTTGGTTCCATTAATCTATATTAAAATAGACGATGAAATTTATGATCTGTACCTCAGATTGACGTCGAATCGAGGTAATTCTGTCGACGTCATTTCGACGTCTGTAATACAACGTCAATTCGATTTGCATTTTCGACCTTCAATCAACGTCGAATCGACGTCATTTTGTCGACGTTGATTCGATGTCGGTAAACAACATGGATTCGATTCACGTTTTCGACCTTCAATCGACGTCAAATTCAACGTTGAAACAACGTCGATTCGATATCGATTTGCCCACTGGGCAGGGTATCGCCGGTCCATAGCAAGAGATCACCACAGAAAACTCTTTTGGTACCATTTACATTAAAACAATGTCCATCAACCTGAAACAAGAACTGAAACTGTTTTGGTTTCTTTTGAATAAATTTATATTAATAATTATCCATTCTCTCCATAAGTAAAATTATTTGGCATTAGGTTGAGCAATCTCCCCTTGATAAGTAAAAACATTCATGGTGGAAAACAGACTGAAAGAATATGGGGGTGCATTGCCAGTCAATGAGTTAATTCATTAACAATGGCATGCTTATACTTCTTGTACCCATATAGTCCAAATCATATAATAGCAGCTAAAAGCTTTGATGAAAGGCTCAAGAAGACTATCAATCCCATACTTCTTTATGTCATTTGTTTTTGCAATACCTGAGTTGAATACTGCGAACAGTTGACCTAAATATAGGCCGGATATTGCCCAGTAGAAAGTAGAAGACACCTAAAAAGCCAAGATAATTCAATAGTTATGAACTATTCTATTCTGAATGATAATTATAGAATAGTTCTGAATGATAATTATATGACAATATGTTAAAATATAATGGGATGCACAATGTAAAGTTGTGAACCCATTAATATACAAGACTCTTCCCTTGATAAAATAAAATTGTCTGGCCTTAGACAGAATAAAAGAATAGGGTAGGGCACTTTGACAGTCAATGAGTTAAACAGGAAGCAATGGCCAAAATAAAGGCTATAGCATAATATATACCTATCTTATGTATCTTTGCTTTTGAGCCCAAAGGATTGGCTATTTCAAGGTCATCATAATACCCAAATAACTGAAGGGCATCTTTATGACAAGAGAAGATAGGATGACTCATAAAAAATTCACCATCCATAACATCACAAAGAAACACCATCACCAGAACAATGAGGATTATCAACTTCCTTCAAAATATCAGGATTTTGAAGAAGGGCCTACGAGATAAAATTTGTAAATGTTAACTCATTAGGCCACACGACATACCATACTTCTTACTCCATGGATAACACTGTTTTAGATAGGGTTGCACCGGAACCAATTTTTAAAGTTCCGGCCGGAACTGGAAAAAGGTTCCGGCCGGAACCAATTTATTAAGCCATATATAGTCATATGTTACTTTGTCTGCTGCCAGACAGGCAGACACTTCAAGTCATCAAGGACAGAGCTCGCAATTGTTAGAAAAAGATTGACAAACGTTAAACGTCATAATGAAGTGTTAATAGTGTACATTTTCCTTGTGTAGTCCAATAAATATTGGACATTATTCAATAAATAAACTTGATATTCTAAAAACGACAATCTCGCTAAAAACGACAGAGTTTCGGTTCCGGCCATGCTATTTTTATTAGTTCCGGCCGGAACCGGTGTCCCAGGATTTTCCCCCCCCCCCTACATTTTCGCCCCCCGGGGGGCGAAATTCCTAGGAATATCGCCCACCCAGGGGGGTGAAAATCCTAGGAATTTCGCCCCCTTTTAAGAAATTCGCCCCCCTTTAGAAACTTCACCTTTTCTTTAGGATTTTCATCCTCCGTTCAAAATTTCGCCCTTCCTAACAGTTGAGTTGCATGGGATAATTATTACATGGCTTTAATCATTTGAAATCAGTATCAATTCAAAATTGTTAAGACAGAGCTTGAAATAACAACCGATCACCGATCAATGATCGGCAAGGAATTGCTTATGATCGGCGGAAAAGCAGGGTTTCGGTTTCCAACTTGAAAAAAGCAGGGAAAGTCACGACTGCCGATCACCATGATCGGGAACTTTGGGAACGTTATTTCAAGCCCTGTATGTAAGAATACAAATTTACAATTACATGTATCGAAAGGGCTTACACAGTTACAGTAGATCAATACTCAATAGGACTTATGACGCTTCACAGCACACCATGCATATTTTGCATTTTCAGTGTTAATCCTTAAACTCATTGTTAAAAGTAATCACCGTGGTGGTTATTGTAATTATTGGTATTGTTTTGCATCCACGTTTTGTCGTTATCGGAAAATGTATGGTTTGTCACTATTTTTTACTTGCATTATTTCAATATAGTTTGTAAATCTCAGAAGCGAAGGGTAGAACTTGTCAATAGGCAATAATCCAATAATATACGTTTCAAAAAAGACAAGAAAGCTTTTAGTTTTGCAGAGTTAATTCTCAAATGTTTAAGGCATGCACTAATAAAATCAAAGTATCATGAAATTATTTGAATAAACCACACCACATATATAATGCAATTTTCTTTGCGGAAGTGAAGAATCAAGATTACATCACTGACAGGGAAAGTTGACGATTCAACGGACAATAATCAATACGCTTCCCAACACATTCCATAGATTTTTTACTAATCCTATAGTTTATTGTTAGCAAGTGATTACTGTGGCGGCTATTGTTAACACTCGTATTGATAAAATTTGCAAGCGATTGTTTTTATAATATGTTATGTGAATGTAAACTGCCAGAAGAATACGACATGATTTTATGCGATCTCTGTGATGGTTCCACTTTAGATGTGTAGAATATGACACTAGTCTAAGTACCTCAAATGAGTGGTTATGCAGACTGTGCACACCACCAGCTGCTAAGAAGCCTAAAATGTGTATGTAATTTTGTCTCCTTGTAATAAATAAATAAATCACACAATAAATCTTTTCAACTTGCAATCGTTTTGTTTTTAGATCAAAAATTCAAAATTTATATGGGGGGCGAAATTCCCAAAGGAGGGCGATATTCCTAGGAGATTCGCCCCCCCGGGGCGAATCTCCTAGGAATATCGCCCCCCTTTTGAGAGGGGGGGGCGAATCTCCTGGGGGGGCGAATCTCCTGTGACACCGGCATTAACATAAAGATTTTTAGCATAAACTAGTTAAATTTGCACTTATTGCTCTGGTTGGCATCACCGGAGCTATAAAAGGGGAGCCTTAAGATGGACCATGTTCCAATCTTGTTTCATGTTTACTCAATGTGTTTTGTTCTTAATGTATTTGTTCTGCAACAGGTCACCGAGCCATTTTCCTGTTTGTATTTTCCTTGGTTATATTCGTGTTAATGGCCAAAGTTTAATAAATAAATAAACCATATTTCCATAAACCATATAAACAAACCTTCTTCCTTTCCTAAGTACTAGGGTAAATACCGGTAAAACTATGGCTAAATGGATGATTGCAGCTATAAACAAAATTTTGATCTAGGCAAGAAGAATGAAATCCATTACCATAGCTGGAAAGAGCATCTTAAAATGAGTAAAATTACAAAGTTTGGTTGCAAATTGTTGTAAAGTGAGGAAAATATAGCCCTGTGAAGATCGCAAATTTTGTATATATTTGCATTACGCGCGGGAAAAATAACTATTTTTGAGCCGAAAGTGGTTATTTTTACCGCGCGTAATACAAACATATATAAAATTTGCGAACTTCACAGGGCTACTTTTCTTCATTTTCAACATTTCGCAACCAATCTTTGCAGTTTTACTCATTCTAAGACGCTCTTTCTAGCTGTGGTGTTGGATTTCGTTCTTGTTGCCTTGATCAAAATTTAGTCTATTAGTCTATAGTTGGATTCACTCATTGTTTTATACTGAAATGTTGTGCATACAGTGGGCCAGCTATCCTTATTATTATTTAACATGGACTGGAATTAGCACATCCCTCTTAACTTTCATTCTGACGTGGGAGGTACGAGGGAAATAAACAGAAAGACATATATACCTGTTGCTTCACGCACAACTGCTATATCTGTTGGAGAACCAAGGCCAGATCTTAACAACACACAAGAAACAATCTTTCGATACAAACCTAGATATTACAAGAAATAGTATTACACCTGTTAGCAGGTTCTTTTCCATGACTTTTTGCTGGGGCCTTAATTGCTGCAGAGAAGACAGAGTTCACTTAAACAGCTGGGGAGTCTGGGGAGGCTCCCCCCTGGGGGGTTCTAACTGAAACTTCATTTTTACTGCACTGAAACTTTTGATGAAATGACTGAGTATCATAACTCAACTCAAGAATGAGTTTCTGGGGCCATTTATCTGCCCTAAAAAAGCCCTGAAAAATACCCTGGTTAATTAGTAGCCATATAAGTTAATTTGAAGGCTTTTCGTCAGGTGGTTAGTAGAATTAGAATCTAGCTGTTTAAACTTCAAGAAAATGTTTGTAATATTTAATTTTTAGATAATTTAGACACACACTACAGCAGTAACGCCAGACTTCTTTATTTTAGAAAATTCATTTGCCAACCACAAAATGTAGATTCTGAACATGCAGAATACCTTCAAGATCATCTCTATTTCTTGCTCTACTGTCAGTTATTTCTCTTACAACTGGACTTAATCTTGATTCAAGCACTCTCCGATGTTCTTCCAGAAAATCAGCTGAGAAAATATAAAATTTATTATTAAGATAATTTATGCTTAATACAGGTGGCTGACTAATACTACAGTAAAAGGTGTTGTTTCCTCAGAATGTTGTTGTCTGCATTACCAGCATGTGACCAGCAACCCTTCCCATTCCTGATACATGTGGCACTTACTGTACCTCTGCTGGTGTAGTTCATATCAAAGTAAACTTGCATCTTTACAGTAGCAAGGGAAGCTGACTGGTGGTCCAACAGTCTTGAAACACAGAGCTAAAGTGAAATGACTACATTTTAATACAAATAAGTAGCAAGTTACTTGCATTTTGCTTCTGGCAGACGAGGCCCATTACATACCTTAATGAGTTTTTCAACATCATCTTTGGTTAATGTTCTATCAACATTAAAGCCATTACTGGGATCCAAGACAACTGCCTTTACCTGGAAATTACAGTAATTTTGTAGTGGGGGTTTGAACGTGTTTGAACATGGAAAAAACTATACAACTGGCAAGTTATTGCATACTATCAAAACATGCAGAGTTGAGCAACGTCGCCTCGGGTGCACTTTATGGTAATTTTATAATAACTTCCCGACAAAGGGCATTTGCTCCAAACGTCAAAGTTTCACTTGTATTTTTTAGGTAGTTCTCTCAATTTGCAGCTTTTTAGCTTGTTTTTAGCTTTCCTGCTTTCCTAGAGCCCAAAATTGAAATCATCATGCTCAAATATCTACACCAAAAATTTCATGATATTTTTCACTGCAGGGGAAATTCCATAATTAGTGAAAACAAAATTTTCAAAATGCTGTAACATGCACGCTGAATGTCTAAACATCATGAAATTCTCAATATAAACTATTTTGAGCATGGAGATTCTAATTCTGAGGTCCATTCTTGGCAAAGACCTTGGACCTGTAAATAAAATGGGGTATCTTTATATTTTTTTCTTTTTCCGGGACAAAAATAAGCTACTGTATTAACGAGGTCACCATATTAACAAGTTGGTCATAAGGCGGAGTTTCAATGTATTATTGTCTAATTTAATATAATAAACTGTTTATATCTGTTGCTGCACCTAGCTGCACTCATACCATAAAAGCAACCAATGTTTCTGACACTGCTTGACCTCTTGCAGCACACTCCTGTGCAATTTCACGAATAATATTCTTTATAACACTCTCTGCTTGTGTCTTAGACATTTTCCGCCTCTACAACACGCCAAATTCTTACAAAATGTATTCAAAACTTAAAATAATTGCAAAATTATAGCGGCCATATTGGTAGTTGATGTCAATCACTATGGCAACCCGAGTTCGCGCGAAAAGAAAAGCTGGTGACTAATTAGCTGGAATCAACCAATCAGCACGCGCCAATTGTTTGACAGCAAAACTGCAAACGTTTTCCAAAACAAACATGGTGGACTGTTGTTTTTAAATATTTGTGGTTTTCCATTCAATTATATTTCAACTAGCCACTAAAAGTACAACAAAACAATACTACGAGATACTTTTGTTGTGAATACGCACAATACATAAAGATTTTGGTCAACCACAGCTTGGAAGCATCAAATTTTGAACGTTATCTTTGACCAGGAGTGGACTTCACTGGACTAGACATATATAAAATATTGATCCTGCAGCATTTGACCATCCATGGAGGATATAAATAAAACATCACAAACACAAGAAGAACATTTGAATAAGTTTGAGAAAAACAAAAAAGACACAAACTGCAGTACAGATTCTGAAAATGCAGAATTAGAAAATACTGATGAACAAAATGTGCCAAATTCTGTGCATAACTCTTCAGATATTAGTAATACCAATAGTAATTCGGTAAAATCTGAAAACAATTCAGAAAATAGTGAAGTTAATGAACCGTGTAATTCGATAACAAATGAATTAATCAGCACTGACCATGGAAGCAGCTGCCCAGAAACACCTACAAACTTTACGTCAACTTATACAACAACTCATAACACTGTACACAAGAGAAATACTGGTAATACTGAATCATCAAAACAGTCAGCGAAGTCTGAGCAGGAATTTGTCATCCATCATGAACACTGTGAAAACCTTGACGGTGTCTCAAATAATGATTCATTTGAGAATATCAAGGATAGCAAAAGCAGTGTACAGGAACGCAAGCCTGTTGACTTACCTGAGTATTTAATCAAAGGTTTAACACAGAACACTGCAAAGGGTTTGTATAATTATAAAATTTTGATTAGGCAGTACTCAATCTACCTATAGCCAAGATGGAATTTTCAACATACTCATTTCAGAATAAAATCTATATATGCCCCAAAGTAAGTCAAAAACCCTTAGGCCCGGTTTAGACAGCGAACTTTTCATGTGCCAAATCTAATGCAAGGATTAAGTGCAACGCTGTCCAGAGCGGTGTCTAAATCAATTAAGTTCGGCAGGTTTTGATTAAGTTCGACACGACTCGAAGATGTGACAAGACCAGTCGTATATGCGACACAGGTTCGACATTGATTTAGATGTCGTGCTTTTCATGTGCTGAACCTACGGCATAATTATTTTTTAACATTATAATATGATTATCATATATTTGCATTGTAAATATGTCCAATATAGTGTCCTCGCAATTTGGTATAGTACAATTAAGTTTGATGTCTAATTTAGATCAGTTTCCGACATTTTGCCGTATCTATGACAATTAACAAATATAAAAATTTTCCGTGTTGATATACAGTTTTATAATATAGCGTTTATAAATTCTGAACGCTGATTGGCTAAGAGCCGTGTTGATATAACTCAATGTCAACACGGGAAATTTTCCGCCGCTTGTAAACACGAAATTTTTCTTATCCTTCGGGCGTTTGACATTGCTATATTATAAAAAAAATATAAAACATTTTTCCGTGTTGATATATAGTTATATCAACACTCGTGGAAGTTGGGAGAACTCGAAATTGTATGAAAACACTCCGCCCTTCGGGCGTCGTGTTTCCACACAATTTCTCGTTTTCCCAATTCCACTCGTGTTGATATAACTGTATATCAACACGGAAAATGTTTTATATTTGTTAAATACCACACAATTTCGAGTTTTCCCAATTTCCACGAGAAACATAAAGAAAGAAATTTTCCGATGTTTCCGTGTTGACATTGAGTTATATCAACACGGCTCTTAGCCAATCAGCGTTCAGAATTTACAAATGCTATATTATAATTAGATTTGGCACATGAAAAATTTGCCATCTAAACCGGGCCTTATATAGGGCGTAAAAAAAATACCTGTGGTTCCGGTTCCCGACCGACCCTATTTTTTTCTGCCGACCCTATTATTTTTTCATACATATATGCAGTAGTGTATATATGGGAGTACCCCCAGGGTGGAATGGCCTACCAGGATACCTGGAGATTTCCTTGTGTGTTCCCAGTATTAGAATAGAAGCTGCACATGCAATCATATAAAGTGGGTCCAAGTAATTCTCCTAGTAATTTTCAAAGAACCTAGCCTGGGAAAGAACCATGCTGCCTCTGTGATTGCATGTATATTATGATACATCATTCAATTGACTCAAAGGCTTGTACCAAATAATGACCCAGGCATTAGCATGTGGCTAACATGAATATTCAAGGTTTAATTTATATATCCAGTCAAATCTCTACGTAGCAATTCCAAGTGATAATTTCCATATTTATGGTAGAGCAGCTATGTGCTTTTCACTAAATAACCTTAATGACCATATTACTTTCACAATATTTATATGCAAAGTCATGGCAAAGTTTTAAAAACTTACTGTAATGTGACTATATGCACTTTTACTAAATAACATTAATGAGAATAATATTTACATGTAAAGTCATCCCAAAGTTTTAAAAACTTACTCATAACCTCTAGGTCATGTTCTTTGTTATAACTAAAGGAAAATAATATTTCAGGTTTCTCGTTATTTCACTACCTAAAAGTGGAGGTAACAAGAGGTTATCTGTTTGAGGAGCAGGAAGAAAAATTTCTTGATCAACGAGAGAAAATTTATACATTTATGAAAACACCTCGGGAGTTAGAGAAGGTATAAATTCAGTAGTCTAGCATCAAAATTATGTTCATTTTGATGAAGTGAAATGTACCCACAAAAGAAACGATAGTACAGCTGGCATTTCATTCTGTCAATATTCTTCATTGGCATTTAATTTATTGTTCCTCTGTGGTGTACAGTCCCCAAATAGTGTCAAAACCTTTTTATAAATTCTTCAAAACTTAGAATTTACCCATGCAAAATTCCTACAGTGTACACCAGCTTTTAGGCAGGTTCAACTCCATTACCCCAGGTCACTATTCTGTGCTACTACAGTAATTTTTATGTTTCTAGTTAATGTGGTTTGGTTTTCTGTTATGTCTCGACTGTTTTCTTTTTGTTTTCACGTACCTTCCTGTGCGAGTTTTATTGGCTATGCTGCAACTGCTTGGCAATGTTGTTTGTCTTAAATTTCTTAGAAATACGTGAGTATGCAATTAGCATTTTGTTACATTTACGAGACAATACTTGCACATATGTGATTGGTTGGAATTTGCATAGATTTACAGGAAACAATTTCTCAAACCACAATACAGGATAGTTGTTTTTCTCATTCTATCAATGTTAAAGTAATTGTTTTCTAATATAGGCTATCATTGTTAGAGCCTCATCAAACATGCGATTTGCTACGAGGTAGGGAAGTTATCTAACAAATATATAATGGTAACTTTGGCCTGTTTTATAGGTCGAATTTCGGTCGCGTCGAATGCAATTCAAACAATAGATGAAGCTTAACTCTTTAATGAAGTTTATCATCTCATCTATTGTCTTACGCGACCAAAATTCGACGTACAAAACGGGCCTTTGACAGTGAAAGTTGAAATTTAGAATGGCCCAAATGTTACACGTTTATTACACTGCATATAAAAGAAATGTTTCTTTTACTGCATATAAAAGAAATGAAAAGAAATAAAATACTCTTAAATTTTAGGTTTTATTCTCCTTGTATGTTGTGTTGCAATGAATAGCTGGTGTGATTTATCTATATTGTATCATATCGTACGGGGGCAGTCAGTGATCAAGCTGTACGTCATTTATAACATGTTAGATGTAAGTGTACATTACGCTGAAAATATCCTGGAACAATACTTTACAAAATCTGACTGTCGTTAATTCATCCGACAACGAAACTTTAAGTTCTATTGCTATTGATCCGACATTTCATAATATTACCCAGGCTGCGTACATAACCTAACATGAACCTGTCCCATACTCTCTGCCCTAACCGATTCTTATCCTAACCGTTCTTTCGTGATTTGGCATAAGAAATACAACGTCTGTGAGCAAGCTAGTTGACTAGTTCTGACAGGTATACACACGCAAAAATCTCACATCTTGTATACATACGCAAAAATCTCACAACTTGTAGCAAGTCTGCCAACAAGCCGTCAACAAGTTGTGTTCACACTGCTTGTCCCAAGTTGTCAACAAGTTTGGAACAAACTGTTAACAACTTGTAACAACCTTGTCCATATTATCAGACTTGTTGCAAGGTTGTTCCAACAAGTCCGATACAGTCATGATATAACAATATTGTTACAACCTTGTGTGGTCAACGTTGTAACATTCTTGTTATATCATGACTGTATCAGACTTGTTAGAACAACGTTGTAACAAGTCTTATAACGCCATCAAGATTGTTACAAGTTGTTAACAGCTTGTTCCAAACTTGTTACAACAAATAGGAACAAGCAGTGCGAACACAACTTGTCGACAGCTTGTGAACAGCTTTAGTGCAGTTAAAACCATTGAACTACATGTATAGGAATGCTGCATTACCAGAATAGAATTTGCGCTGTGATTGAACTATGATTGCGCTATGAATAACTGTGAACACGTAAACTTAAGTATCAGTTACTAAGAAAGTGACATTTGAAAGCCATGTTTGTTGCTACAGATTGCAGATAGATTATTTTCATCGATTGGCCAAGACACGCTAGATGCTTTATTTTGGACGGGAGCAGAACCAAGACAAAAACGACGTTTTGTAATGATCATACTACATTTTGGACTGGCCTCTGTATATGTTTGTATCCTTTCAAAACTGAGATAAAAATTTAATTGTCGATTTTTTTGAAATTGGATCATCATCTTCTCACGAGAGGTCGGCTCTCTTTGTCCCAACTCCCCATCTTTCGATCCATATCTAAATCTTCCTTGGTGTTATTTCTTTCCAAATCTTTCTTTTCAAAAAAAATTCAAATAGCTTCAAATTATTGTCTCTAGAAGTAAGACTAGTATCACTGGGCCAACTTTAGCGTTCAAACGAAATTGGTTTCCACAAACAGAATAATTTATATATATTCCTTAATAATATTGACAGTTCTCCACGCACTGTTAGTTCTGTTCCAAGCAATTACTTTAAATGTCGCAATCAATTCTCACAACAAAGTTCTAATGGTGGTCATGGTATCAAATCAGGTAAGGATATCATTCAGTCATAGTTTCATAATTAACTGTTGTCACGGTTACCCGTATTGTGTCTGCTGTATGATACTGCTCATCATTTTATATTTCACTCTTCTTTATAGTTTGTGGAACTGAAAGGATGTGTATTCAAGAAATTTGAGAAAAATAATCTGTTTCAAATGTCTTGTGCAGGTGACATACTCACGACTGCATAATCCCTTGACCTGATTATCAACTCATTACATGGGGCTTGAAATAACGTTCCCAAAGTTCCCGATCATGGTGATCGGCAGTCTGCTTTTTTCCTACTTTTTCAGGTTGGAAACCCTGCTTTTCTGCCGATCATAAGCAATTTCTTGCCGATTTTTGATCGGCTGTTATTTCAAGCCCTGACGTCTCATGCAAGGTCTTTATACCCCCCCCCCCAAAAAAAAAACAAAAAAAAACAAAAAACAAACAACCCAACACTGCAGAAAAGAGCTACTCGCATGGCACCTCTTGTTTTCGGTGCTGTTATTGCCCTCAAGGAGGGTGGTGTAAAGACCCCAAGTTATCAAGTTGCATAAACCCTTCATTCCTAGGATTCATCATGGAACATCGCGCTTTTCCTATATGTCACAAGTATTCATTAAGTCACGGCTATTTTTAGATATCAGAGAGAGGTTTTACTATGTGGTCTTGGTATCTCTCGTCACTTTGAGGAACATGCATGAACTTCAGTGGAACTTAGGTGAGATATACTGTGTGCCCTTCTCCTACACACAAATACTTTACATAGTTCGAGTCACTTGACAGAGAGCACAGTGCTTGTCTTCTTTCATTAACAAGTCCCACTGTCCTACACTTGATTATTTTCAACTATTTTTTATGGTCAGCAAGATTAGCACGCTTGCCTGACAACAAACTGAATGTGGTAAAGTTGCTTGCGTAGACCAAATGTTTTTGTATGGCATATATGGTTGCAGGACAAATATGTACTATTTCTATCACTTCTAGATCACCTGTACGAGTTGGTACCATCAGTTGCATTGCTACTTTGCTCCGAAGTATTTGTCGACTGGGTCAAACATGCTTTCATTACAAAATTTAACTGTATTTCAAGTGAGGTATGCCAGTATAGTGTTGTGCGACGTGTTTCATTTGATTCAGAGGAATCATCCGTCAAGAGAAATATCTGCGCAGACAGATCATGCGTTTTGACCGCTAGTTTTGACGGATTATTCATTTCCTTAGAAAACATGAAATACATTCACAGAAAAAATATACAATCCAATGATCTCGATTTGCTAGGTTTATCGTGAATACAGAGAATTACTTGCTTTGGATGCAGCAACAAGTAGATTGTTCGGCCAACAACGGGTAAGCTCGCTTAAATTACACAAAATTGTCCTGTATAGCTTTTCCTACGCAGCTACTCCTAATTGTGTCTGCAGCTCCATTAAGTTGTTAACTGATATTCGTTTTTACTGTTCCCTGCAGGCATGTTCAGATCATTTTGATTTGGTATCGCGACGTCTTGGTTTCATTCCTCTACCCTTGGGTTGTGTGGTAAGTTAGGTTGTTGGTTTTCGTGTACTAAATTTGGTAAGACTCGCTGCCATTCCCCGTTGACTCTATAGCTCAATGGCTGGGAGCGGCGGTCTAGATACCCAAGGAAGTCAGTTTTTTAGTTATTCTCTGTAGTCGGTCAGAATAATATGAAACTAGTTTTTCTGTGCGGTAAGTCATATGGACTTTCATGCACGAAACATAAAATCTAAAGTAAATCGGACCTTGGTGATAGGTGCAGAAATATGCGCAGCCCCTACCTCATATGTAGCATCCCCCAGCCCTAGATGAAGTTGGCACCAACAAGTGGATGCCGCAATTTCCATGATTTATAGCACTTTTGATGGATGCTACGGTATTACAAGCCCCCTCCCACCACGTTAGCAATTTTGTACACCCCCCCCCCCACTCCCCCGTCCTCCTTGCCAGAAGTACGATCCTATTTTTGAAGTCATTACCTACTAGTACATGATCTTGTGTTCTAGGTATACCGTGTGACCAGTCAGTCTGTGCAAATATCTGGAACTGCGGGAATTGTTGTCCTGGTTCTTGTATATTTATGGTAAGCGGCAATTATGACGATAACTTGATTGTGAAACAAACTAGGAAACATTCGTCCGAGAACAGAGTTGTCTACCTGCATGGTTGTTCCCGAAGGTGGGCAAACCAGGAAACATTGTTTCTTAGCTATGTACTGTAAGATTGTTTCCGGAAGGTGAACAAATCTGGAAACATTGTTTCCTAGCCATATTTTTCGAAGGTGGGCAAACCAGGAAACATTATTTCCTGGCTATGTTTCCCGAAGGTGGGCAAACCAGGAAACGTTGTTTCCGAACCAAATATCAAATGACTACTGTATCTTTGGCCATTTTTTTCGTTTTAGGTTAACATCAGTGAAAATCCTCAACAGCATAATCTTATTGGGCTTATCTAGTCATTACGTCATGAACAAAACATCAAACATAAACGAAACCAAGCCTAATATGGAAAGTAGTCCAAGTCCTTCAGACTTGCAACTTCCGGTCTCGGACCCATTGGACAGAGACCAAAACAAAGTGGGCACGGTGTCAAAACCCCGTCAAGTTAAAGCTCTGAATGAAATTGACCGATATACTCTGTGTAGTAATAGAATTGTATGAAACACTGAATATTTTTGTAGTATTGTCAATAGATGGCAATGGGGTCTTACTGCAGGATAAGGACTGTGGTAGATTGTATTAAATGATGTTACTCCAAGTAGTTCCACACCAGGCAAGCTAAAAAATGGCTTGACCGCGGTGGGAATCGAACGCGGATGCGGAAAACCGGGGCCGCTAGCTAGTCAGTCAGACTGCCCATGCATTTTCAAGAAAACTGGACGGGTAAAAATAGACAATAATAACGCGTATCCGATTGAAAAACATGGAGAACAGAAGGATTTTTGAAACGAAGTCAGCAATATGTTTGCTTTCTGAATATTGTTCTGCATTTTTTATTCAGGCGCAAACTTATTTATTTGCATCGCCGCGTAGGTAAATTTCAGTTATTTATGTCAAGTATTTATGTCTGATCATAGTATAATTATTACTTTATTATAATACAATAAATGTTCATGTGTCAATATTTTGCGTATTAGTTCCCAGCAGTTTCACTTTGGCGAGTAACTGTATCCTACCTTCATATGTGTACCATCTCATGACTTCGGCTTGGCTGAACGGGCAAATTGCTAAAAAAGAAAAAGACACTGTTGACCAGGCTGACATTTTTTTCAAGGGATGTAAATTTTATGCATTTATTAGATCTACAGTAACCAGGAGAAGTTGCGAAAAATACAAACAATAGTACGCCACGTGATGTGTTGTGACGTCATTTGCAAGGCTTGAATAAGAAACATTTTCACTGGCAAAATTTTAGAAGGATGAAATTGAAGTAATTTTTTTAAGTTTCCTAGTGGAAATAAAACTGGCACATAAGGTTGCGTGTTGCTCCCTCACAAATAACCCTCTTATCTAGAACAAGTCCCCTTTTTAGAGGAAGAAATTCATTGCGCTCCTCCACTTCCCTTATAATGAATGTGTTAACTATCCATATCAATCAGTTCCCCTTCTCCGTAAAGGATAAAGCCAATCTGTTCAATAACCACCCTTCCCCATCAAGCATATCCTGAAGTACATAAGCTCACGGGGACGTAATAAAGACAGTTAAATTAAACAACGCAATTCCACTTACGACAACAAGTGGTTTTCCAAACAAGAGATACCGATGTGTTTCTCTCAACGCTTTTTCAGCAGATTTCTCGTTTGCAAAGCTGACAAATGCTTGACCTTTCATGCGGCCTTCTTTCATGAGACGAACGTCAAAACTAAAAGAATGAAATAAATTTTCTAGAACAAGTTGTGTAAAAAGGTCGTGTTTTGCAAGAAACATTTTCATAGAATTCTACTAAAGATAAAACGTCATATATAATACACATAAAACGTTTACCTAAGTTTGCTTTCTTCGGAATCCTGATCGATAAATCTGCCAAAAACACGACGAAGGTCCTGCAATACATTCATCGAGAAAATAAAAGGTTAAAGGATATGCTATGATGAACATTCGGTATAATTCTAGCAGTTTCTGATTTTCTGATAAGTTGTCTAGACTAAGCATTAGGGTCTCCACTTTCATGGAAATTTCCATATTTTATGGAATGTTTAAAGTGAAATTAAGTGAAGATAATTTAATGAAATTCTATGGACATTTCAATATCCATGAGAAAATATTATACATTACGCCAAAAATTGGGTAGAAAATCCAATTATTAAGGAAAAGTTACATACAATATAAACCTATATATTGTCCTTCTAGATTAGTATACCAATCATATCTGTGCAATAGATGTTCCATAGAATTATCTCTGTGATTTTATCTCAATTTCAAAAAAATTCGCTCCAAACACGTGTGGGATAAAGTGGTGAAAGCTGGAAACACCGAAGGTTGTTCAATCTTCTTGATAAAGTTCAGACCCAAATCACAATAGGTTATTGTAATCGATGGTACTCCCAAATTGACTCAGTATAGAAATCTATCAGGATTTTCGATAGATCGAAGTTTGTTCAATCTTCTTGTTAAAGTTCAGACCCAAATCACAATAGGTTATTGTAATCGGTGGTGCTCCAAATTGGCTCAGTATAGAAATCTATCAGGATTTTCGATAGATCGAAGTTTGTTCAATCTTCTTGATAAAGTTCGGATCCAAATCACAATAGGTTATTGTAATTAGTGGTACTCCAAATTGGCTCAGTATAGAAATCTATCAGGATTTTCGATGGATCGAAGTTTGTTCAACCTTCTTGATAAAGTTCGGACCCAAATCACAATGTAATCAGTGGTATTCCAAATTGGCTCAGTATAGAAATCTATCAGGATTTTCGATAGATAGTTTGTTCAATCTTCTTGATAACGTTCAGACCCAAATCACAATAGGTTATTGTAATCGGCGGTACTCCCAAATTAGCTCAGTATAGAAATCTATCAGGATTTTCGATAGGACTAATTCAGTAATTGTTTAAAGGATTTGTAGATGGATATTTGGTGTGTGAATTTTATGTTCGATTCTTGCCAGAGGGCCTATACTCTATAGTTGTATTTTTCGCAACTGCTCCTGGTTAGGTACTTAGGTCTAATAATTGAGTAATAAATTGAAAACACAAATTATCTAGAGTTCTAATAGCAAGTAATAGTAATTGTATTCCTTCCACTCGTGAGCTCATTACAAAAGTAATGTCCAGGCCTTGTGACCCTGGATGGGCACTTAAAAGGAAAGAATACACACACACAATTAGTATTTTTTCAATGTGTATTCTTTCCTTTTAAGTGCCCATCCAGGGTCACAAGGCCTGGACATTACTTTTGTAATGAGCTCACGAGTGGAAGGAATACAATTACTTGCTATTAGAACTCTAGATAATTTGTGTTTTCAATTCGTGATATGCCGGACGACGTAACCTTGGGTAACTTACTTAATTAAAATGTTTAAATGGCAGTCGATCCAAATCTTGTTCGTAATTGAGTAATAAATGTATAAAATTCACACTAGAAATGGATGATTCCAGTTATTGACTAAATTTTGATCTAGGCAAGAAGAACAAAATCCATCACAGCTATAAAGAGCATGTTAAAATTAGTAAAATTGCAACGTTTGGCCGCGAAATGTTGTAAAATGCGGAAAATATAGCCCTGCGAAATTTGCAAATTTTGTATTAATTTGTATTACGCACGGGAAAATGCACCACATTTGGGCCGAAAGTGGTGCATTTTCCCGTGCGTGATATACAAATTAATACAAAATTTACAAATTTCGCAGGGCTATATTTTCCGCATTTTAACACATTTCGTAACCACATTTTGCAATTTTACTAATTTTAACATGCTCTTTCTAGCTGTAGTGGATTTTTTTTTGCCGAGATCAAACATCTAATCCCATCTACAATTCCCTTCAACAATTAGTTCTGTCGAGTGAAATGCCCCAAAATAAACAATACCTTCACTTCAACTTGTTTAGCGACGTTCTTGACATAAAGTCTACAGGTTGGTTCACCACAAGTGTAGTTCTTAAACGCTGATAGAGATTTCATTTCTACACAAGAGTAAAACGTTTCAGTGGATGATTTGTCCAATACTGCACGTGGAAACGATACGATATTTGAGGAATTAACGTACGAGTCGGCAAGCTGTTTTACCAGTCGTTAAAATAAAACGTTGATTCCTACATCATACGAGTCGTGAAATATAATTGCCGAGAGTTGCAACTGGTGATTCACAAGAGTCGTATGAGTTATTACGAGTCGTCATGAAATATAAATGTCAAATTGCAACTAGTGTTTGGCGAAATAGTTTGGCGGTAAGGTAAGGTAAGAAGGACAAATCGAGTCGTCCTCTCTCACCTTCTCTGCTTATTCTATTTTTTCTCAGTTCATGAAGTGAAATAAATTCTCCATCGTCTTCTTCAAAATCTTCTTCGCTGCCATCGTGTTTTTCATCTTCCTGAGTGGCAGGAGCAAACGTTCCAAAACCTGAACCACTTGGTTCATCAAGTTCTATAGAAAAACATAAAACACTTGTGGACTTTCTCTATACATGCATAATCCCTTAATCTACTGTATACCCTTAATACCCTTTACCCTTGACCTAAGGCTAATAAACCAAAACCTGGGGCTGGTTGTAAAAAAAAGTAGGTAAAGTTAAGTACTTAAGTTAACTATACAGTTAGTACAGTTTAGAGTTAACTACTATAAGTGGTTAGAAAATAAAGAATTTTACACAACAGCTACAATCTGAGAAAACATTTTTTGTGAGCTTCAAGTATAGATAGTGTTCAACAGCTTCGTTATATGGATGTAACTGCCTGATTTACCAAAACCTCCACGTTACTGTTCCCCTTCCCATGTGAACGTGGTCTAATAGTAACTTCAATTCGATTCCTGCCGCGGATAGCCTATAAATAACAGTTGTATTTTTCGCAACTGCTCCTAGTTAGGTCTAACACATGTATAGAGTTTCGCTCGAAATTCCCATCTATAAAAAGCCTTCATCATTCTGTTCTACAGAGCGTGATGTCCAAATTCTTGTATATTTGAATACGTTTTTCACTTCAACCGTATCAGGGGTGGATCCATGCAGCAAGGTTTTTCTAGGGGGTGCTGTGTGAGCAGCCGAGTGTTTCTTTATAATTCTTTAGGGGGTGGTGGGAGAGCATTCAAATGAATTGGTTTCCTAACGACTCGAGCGCCGAAGGCTCAAGCTCCCTAGGGGGTCCAGGGCTATGCCCCCCCGGAAAATTTTGAAAATTAGAACCCTAGAAATGCCATTTCCTGTGATATGGGCATTGAATTATGAGCTTGCGTTTGACTTCAAAAAAGAAAAAAACTTGGAAATTATGCCATATTTCTGAATTTGATTTTTTGCACCCCTGTTGACCAAGGCCAACAAGGCACCCCCCCCCCCCCCCAATAAATCCACCCCTGAACCATATCGTAGCATTTTCTTTTGTGTCGAAGTCATTAGTTCCACTCTAGGTGCTCAGGAAACAAATACCCAGATACCCTACACATCGATACGGTTGGCGTGGAAAATGGTCTTTACCCCGTATCATATCATATCAGTACACGGCCAAAAACGCGCAGGTTGTTCCAAGTTGATATCGACAGGCGGGAACAATGTTGTCAGCCATGTTGTTCCAAGTTGCTACAGTTGAACAAT